CGATGGTGGCGGTGGTAGTGGTTGCGGTGTTGGTGGTGGTTGTGGTGGTGGTGTGATGGTGGCGGGGGTATAGTGGTGGTGGCGGCGGCAATAGTGGTGGTGATGGTGGTATGGTGTTGATGATGTTGGTGGTGGTGTGATGTTGGTGTAAAAGTTGGAAAATGACTTCCCCCAAAAAAAGGGGAAGTCATTTTCCTCCAAAACAAGCCTATTTTCCAAAGTCAACGGAAAATGATTTCCGTTGACTTGATTTTCCAGGCACATCCAAACACTGAAAACTTGGAAAATGATTTCCAGAACTCATTTTCCAGGTTTCCAAACACACCCTTCGTATCATTACTCACTTTCCATATTTATCTTCTTTGTTTGTTTGTTTGTAATGGAATTATAACCATCGCATATAGTTTTAGCAAATTGGAAATTATTTCTAAATTTAAAACGAGGGTTCAAAATTAGACCACCACCAACAATAATAATAATAAGATATGAATGGAAAGCCCCGCATGGGCAGCTCAACTGGTCATAGAAGTGAAATTTTGGAAGAATGACCAGGGATCGAGTCTCACCAGCGGCAGTGTGGGAGCACCCTCTCAGAGTGAGGGGGGTTCCTTGTGCGTAGTGAGCCATGATAAAATTAAAAAAAAAAAAAAAAAAAAAAAAAAAAAAAAAACGCGTGGCAATTTGATTTTTTTCATCTAGGTCAAATTTTAAGGTGCGTGGTTTTCCTTCTTAAGGTTCGTGGGTTATGTACTTAATGTGCGTCAGTTCTTTAGTTGAGAACTTAAGGTGTGCCGATTTAAAGTTTTATGTGCGTTGTTTTACTTCTTAAGGTGCGTGGTTTGTGTGTTTAAGGTGCGTGGTTTGTGTGTTTAAGGTGCGTAGTTATTGAAAACTTAAGTGCGTCGGTCTAAAGCTTTAGGTGCGTGGTTTTACTTCTTTAGGTGCGTAGTTTTCCTTCTTAAGGTACGTTATTTGTATATTTAAGGTGCGTCAGTTGTTGAAACTTAAATTGTATCGGCCTAAGCCTTTAGGTACGTGATTTTTTTTCTTAAGATGATTTGTTTTTGCGGCGATTTTGAGTACAAAAAGCACGCACCTTAACAATGCTTTTAAAAATGATAAAATTAAAAAAAAAAAAAAAAAAAAAACGCGTGGCAATTTGATTTTTTTCATCTAGGTCAAATTTTAAGGTGTGTGGTTTTCCTTCTTAAGGTTCGTGGGTTATGTACTTAATGTGCGTCAGTTCTTTAGTTGAGAACTTAAGGTGTGCCGATTTAAAGTTTTAGGTGCATTGTTTTACTTCTTAAGGTGCGTGGTTTGTGCGTTTAAGGTGCGTAGTTGTTGAAAACTTAAGTGCGTCGGTCTAAAGCTTTAGGTGCGTGATTTTACTTCTTTAGGTGCGTAGTTTTCCTTCTTAAGGTACGTTATTTGTATATTTAAGGTGCGTCAATTGTTGAAACTTAAGTTGTGTCGGCCTAAGCCTTTAGGTACGTGGTATTTCTTCTTAAGATGAGTTGTTTTTGCGACGATTTTGAGTACAAAAAGCACGCACCTTAAGAAGGAAAATCACACACCTTAAATTTAACTTAGATGTAAAAAAAACCAAATTACCATCGTGTTCTTTTAAATTTGTGTTAATCCTGAACGTTGATCTTGGCAAGATCAATGGCTCTCATCTCACCAACGTTCGCATCTGAGCACACCATCCGCATTTGATCTGTATTCTCTCTCTCTCTCTCTCTCTCTCTCTCTCTATATATATATATATATATATATATATATATATATATATATATATATATATATATATATACTAGTATTTTTTTATGTCGATGTGCAAAAATTATGTGCTCAATATTAATATTTTATATTAAAATTTTACATTTATTGAGATTTTAGATATTTAAAATAATTATAATAATAATAATGTAATTTTTTTTTATTAATTTGATATTTATATTTTAGTAAATAACTAAATATATAATTTCAATATATATAATGTGTATATATTATTATTATTATTGAAGAAAGATAAGAAAATATATGGTGGATGCATGTGCATCGTAGCAATAGTGAAAAAGATAACGAAAGTTATAACAATAGGGTTGTGTTTGTCCAAAATATTGTATAATATAACTTTTATAACATAATGTATTTTAAAAAAAAAAATTTAAAAAAAAAAACTTAACAAAAAAAGAGACATAAATGAAAAGTATAACCTTCATTCATACTTATTATATTTTTAGATTAGATTAAATTAGATAATATATATATATATATAATATATATATATATATATATATATATATATAAGTATGTTTGTATGTATGTATATTTAACAGGAAAAAAAAAAAACAAACAAACAAAAAATAGCATTAGGAAAAGATGAAAACCACATAAAGTGACGCATTACAACACTAGGCCATGTGCACATCCCACGTTGTTTGAAATAAAATAAATATGTCTAAAAGTGATGATCAAGTGAATGAAGAGTAAATCTCATATTTAAAGATCACGAGTTTATTTATTACTAAGACTCTTTTAATCGAACTCATCGCAAATGGTGTTTTAAGTATGATTTATATATTTACAGACTATTACATATAAGCGGAGTATACTCATTATACATCCTTAACTTGAGTAGTGACTACATATTTTCCTCCTATTACAAAAATAAAATAAAATAAACATGCGTGCCAACGTGAAATATATTGCTGAATTTCTTACACTGTCTTCATTTCAATTTGTGGTTGTGATTTTTATTTGTAGAGTATATATATGCTTAATAGTTGGTTCTTATTATTTATTTATTTATTTATTTATTTATTATTATTATTATTATTATTATTATTATTATTATTATTATTATTATTATTATTATTAGGGAAAATGACATCTTTAGTCCCTAAGTTATAACTAGGGGTGTTAACGAACAGAGCTTTCGGCAAACTACTCGTGTTCGTGTTTGGTAAGCGTTCGTTTATGTTCGTTTGTTAAGGTAAACGAACATTAACAAACAAAATTTAGAGCTCGGTTAATAAACGAACAGAGCTTGAACAGTTGTAAGCTCGTTTGTTAAGAGATCGTGAACAAGCTCGTTTGTGTTCGTTTACTAATGTTTGTGAACAAGCTCGTTTATGTTCGTTTAATAATGTTCGTGAACAAGTTCGTTTGTGTTCGTTTAATAATGTTCGCGAACATGTTCACAAACATATATTATATTAGTTTTGTAGTTGTGTTGTTTGTTTGATTATTGTTCGTGAACGTATATTATTTATTCTTCACGAACGAATTGTGATCATGAACATGTGCAGGTGTTTGTTTATTAAGTATTCATGAATGTAAATGAATATGTTCGTGAACGTGCTTGTTAACGAACACGTTTGCGAACGTGTTCACGAACGTTAACAAACACGTTCGCGAACATGAACACATTAACGTTAACGAACACGTTTGCGAACGTGTTCACGAACGTTAACAAACACGTTCGCGAACATGTTCATTAACGTTAACGAACACGTTCGTGAACATGTTCGCGAACGTTAACGAACGCTTAACAAACGAACACGAACAAGATTTTCAAAAACCTTAACAAACGAACACGAACACGAACACTCCAAATTCCTTAACAAACGAACACGAACAACCTCCGTTCGTTTATGTTCGGTTCGTTAACAGCCCTAGTTATAACCAAGTTCCGACTCAGTCTCTAAGTTATAGCCGTATCCGAGTTTAGTCCCTCAGTTATAAGCGAAGTGGCGAGTTTGGTCCCTATCGTTAATATCCGTCTGCAGCTAATGAAAAACTTAAAAACAATTTAATAATAGAGGGGTAAAATAGAAATTTCAAATTATAATCACCTTCTTATGTTGAAACTCATTACGCAAAAGTCATTATTTTCTTCTTGTACCTACGATGGAAGATCTTTTTCTTTTTCAAGCTCTGAAATCTCAAATTCGTCAACTTCCAAGCTGTGAAATTCACAGGTAAGTTGTTTCTCTATTTTAATGTTTAAATAAATAATCAATATTCTTCGTGTGGATGAACTAATTTAGTCATTAATTATAGGATGCCATCTATTAGTTGTGGACTTGTGGTACTCATCTTCCCTCAATTTGGGAAAAATTTTCGATGTAGATGTGATGACTTATTACCCATCAAAATGCCATGTAGTTATGCTAATCAAGAGAAAAGATATCAAGCTTGCCCATGTTATGGAGCAAATTTTGGTATTTGTCAAAAAATTGTAATTTAAGTTGTTTTTTTATAAATAGAATTGAAATATTGAAATTTGATTTTTTAGAAAAACGGGAGTAAGGTTTCTTTCGCTGATTACATAAGCAACTTAAGACTTTTGTCGATTTTGTGGGAAAATATTTTGGCTAAGTTTACGAATTTTATTAAGAAATTTACTTCTTTACGCCAGAAATTAACTTTGTCAACACAGCGTCAGGGACCAAACTCGCCACTTCTCTCATAACTGAGGGACTAAAAATGAACACAGTAATAATACAAGGACTGAGTTGTCACTACGGCTATAGCTCAGGGACCAAATTTGCCATTTATTATTATTATTATTATTATTGTTATTATTATTATTATTATTTACTTTTTTTTTTTCTCCTTGGGCACATTCACTTGACAAAAATCGAAACCTGAGTTTCAGTCATTGTAGTTACTCTAAATAGATCAGAGTCATTGATTTCAGTCATTGATGTCAGTTTATGATGCATGATAATAATAATGATATAAATATGTAAAATGTCTCATACAAGTTCTTTACCTACCTAGCTAATAAATTATTATACTCCGTAATGACTTATTTTAGCTTCTTCAAACAAAAATGAAGACTATTGACGGCACGTGTTTGGTCAGCACAGTCCACAATGAACCGCTGACCAGCCGAGTTTCACAGGTTCACCGTCCTCGCGTGTACATACATAGGACTAACAAAAAACACAAAAACATCAACAACATATTTCTGATTGTTCTCTCTATATATATACGTATATACTCTCCACTCTAAATCACTCATAGTCATAATTCATTCCTTCCACCATCAAAAGCTTAAAAGGAAACATAAAAGCTCCACTACCAACTTTCTCTTAGGCTTTTGATCAAGCACTTTTCTTTCATCAGTTTCAGCCATGGCTGCTGCTTCTGCCTCCACCAACACTCTGACTCTCAAAGCCGCCATTTCTTCCTCGGCTAAGCTCCCGTCCACCTCTCCCGCCGTGCTGAAGTTCCAGCCCTTTAAGCGCACTAACCCTTTGATCTCAAAAAGTCTCGGCCTCACCGCTTCTACCGCCGCCGCCGCCTCCAAAAGATCGGTTACTGTGAAGAGCCAGAGCGCCCCAGCTGGTAAGCTTTCCGTTTCAACCTGCGTATGATCTGTGAGTTATCGAATGTTTGTTGTTTCCGATGGGGTCTGAAATGTTGAAATTGGTGCCAGGCAAAGTTCAGGAACTGTGCGTGTACGAGATCAACGAGCGCGACCGTGGAAGTCCGGCGTATCTCCGATTGAGCCAGAAATCAGTCAACACTCTCGGCGATCTAGTGCCGTTCAGCAACAAGGTTTGTTTAATTTCATCGTGTTAGGAGAAATCATGGCTTAATGCCTGAATCCATGGATATGCTGATTTTAGGTTACTCTGGTTTTTGTTGTTAGCTGTACACTGGGGATTTGCAGAAGCGGGTGGGGATAACGGCCGGACTCTGCATTCTGATCAAGCACGAAGAGGAGAAGAAAGGCGACCGTTACGAGGCGATCTACAGCTTCTACTTCGGCGACTACGGCCACATCGCCGTTCAGGGACAATACCTCACCTACGAGGACACCTATTTGGCGGTCACCGGCGGATCTGGGATCTTCGAAGGAGTCTCCGGTCAGGTCAAGCTCCAGCAGCTCATTTTCCCGTTCAAGCTGTTCTACACTTTCTACTTGAAGGGAATCCCTGATCTGCCGGCTGAGCTGTGCGGTGCTCCGGTGCCGCCGTCGCCCGCCGTCGAGCCGTCTCCGGCGGCCAAGGCCTGTGAGCCAGGCTCCACTATTGGAAATTTCACGGATTAATTAATGTGCGACTGCGTTGAATTTAGTACTCTGGTCTTTGCTGATGAATAAATTTGTGGTTTTTATTTGGTCGCCATTGTTAATTTGTTATTGCTGTTCTAGATTCTTGAGAATATTCTCATATTAGTGAGATTAATCCAGAAGAGTTTCGGTGTAGAATGTTGCTTCAAATGTTGTATACATATAACTACGAACTTTGACTACATGTTTAAGCGAATTCTGGGGTTCAGCCTTTTGGAATAATGTTTAAGCGAATGTTTAAGTGAATTCCTTTCAAATGCGTTTTTTTGTTTTGTGCTAATAGAACCACATTTACTACCCCATAGTCGATAGTATGTCGGAGCAAATTCTTGTATTAACTCGTAAATAAATCACACATATATGGGGTAAACGATGAGTACGATCAATAATTTATAAATTATTGTAATAACTTATAAATCACACATAAGAGATAAACTATATGTTATGTATGACGAGTTCGAATGAAAAGGTATTGACAATAATTAAATTAGTAACATTTTATTCTTTTTTTTTCAAAGGTTAAGATTAGAAATGGTGAATTTTAAATATTTGAAGAAATAAAGCAGGAGAAAATTTAAATTTAAGAATTAAAAGTGGAAAATATAATAATTATTAAACGATTGAAATTGAAACAGCATATATTAGTATATTAGATTGAAAGTGACTCATTCATTTTTAAAAATGTTTTATGAATTGATCATTAACTTTGAGTATGAAACATCTTTAAATTTTCAGTTTACCTATCATACTTTCTAGAGGTGTTTATAATTTAGTGAGGAGATTAATCACTTTATCAGTTATGAATACTCTATGTTACACACACAAAAAAAGTATGCTCGCCAATTGGGTAAAACGAAATTTAAACATTAGTTAATAAGATAAGATGTGCACACAAATCTTATAGAATTTAGATATTATGAAAAAAAAAAAAGATATCAATTACAAATATAAAATAAAAATGTGAATGTCATGTTACAGCAAAATATACGTGTTAAGTGATATAGCTCCTCCAATCTTTCTTTAGAAATTAGCATTTATACTAAACAACAAGCATCCGGATATGAGCTTCTTTAATTTCATTAAAGGAAAATAGGTTAAATTGGCCCATAAGTCAATCCGATAGTACAATTACATTTCAAAAAAAAAAATTTAAGTGAAAAAGTCACATTCAATCTCCCTAAACTGAAAATTTTATTCAATTAAATTCAGAATGACTTGTTTAGCAAGTAAATTCTCTAAGCAAATCCATGGTTGAGGGCCAAGCTCTGTCCAAGATCCCTTGCAAAAAAAAAAAAAAAAAAAACTTTTTTTTTTTTTTTTTTTTTTTTTGAAAATATCAAAACAGACTTATGAAGAGTAACAACTAAGACTATACATATTAGCATTGCATATCAGAATAATGAATTAACCACGACATAGTATTTAAAGTTGAGCATCAAATATTACAAATAAAGAATCTTAAAAATTATGTGTTTTTTTTGCAATTTTTTAAAAACAAATCTAGGTTAATTTTTTTTTCTTTTTATTTTTCATTTAATTAATATTCTTTTAATTATTTAGAACAAGACTCAATATTTTAATTATGATTTTGCATTATTGGGAATGATTTAGGGGTGATTATGGTATTACTATTTTTTCTCTGTATTTCTATAATGGTACATGATACAAAATATTCCTCGAGTACACCTCCCTCTGCCTACCGTATACCTGTTCGGGTATTTGGCCTGGTCAGGCCACCGAGAGGAATCATTCACGACCTCGACCGATTGCTAGCTTGATATGCCCGACCTAAATATGAAGACCGATTTAAAGCGTGGTCCACGTTAGGCTTCACTACCTTGAGATTGACCCCGAGCTGTTTAGGTCGGAACGATCATCCAGAGCAAGGCCACTTAGAGCATCCCCATTTGTGCATTTTTTTTTTGGAGTTTTTGCAGAGGAAAATATCAAAAAGAGATTTTCAATGAATGGGAAATTAAAATTGGTTTTCGGGGTGATTTTTTCGTGCAAATTAAGTTTTTTTTTTTTGGCCCACCTTTTGAAAAAATTGATGTGCAATCCACGCGTTTAGGGAAACTCTGCGACCTACATGGCGCATGCATGTTGAGTGTGTGTTACTGATGTTTATTTTATTTTAATTTTTTTGTCATATTTTTTCACTTTTTCTTTTCCTCCCATTTTTTCTCTTCATCCTCTCTCTCACCTAGCACCTCAAAAATCTCAAAAAAAAATTAAAATTAAAAATTCACACCAAATGAGGTTGCTCTTAAAGATTGAGACCTAAATTTCTAACTTAAACCAACCAAATCACTCAGTAGAATATTAAGAATAGCACAACACGTGGCTATAGTAGCACCGTTCTCGAGCTAGCCGATTGCATGCACGACACGTGTCAGGCATGCCGAAAGCCCGACATGTGTATCTTTTCTTCCCCTATAAATACCACATTTAATGCTGGAAGAGGGGACCTTTGGGGGAGGGGTATCTTCACCTACCACATCATTGCCCGGGACCCTCTGACCTCATGTAATTACCTGAGCTTAATACTTAAACCAACAAGCAGACTATTAAAAGGATCCATCTACGATTCAACCCTACGAGTTGTGCGTATTTGGGATACTGCCGCATATTTGTCCCATCAGTTCAATTGTACATTATTTTACAAATATTGTACTATTATTTTTTTATTAGACAAAATCATTTGATGGTTTAATATTCGATAATAAGTTAGTGGAGCTCAAATTCATGACATCCAATTGTTATAAGCCGTGTAATTTTCATGTGGGTGAGGGGGGGCGGGGTTAAGGGAACAAAACACACACACACACACACATAATCACGATCAAATGTGAAATAAGTTTTTCGTGATAAGTGTGGACAAATTTGGTCCATTTATCTAAGATGATCAATGACTAAAAAACGATGGGTCAATTTTATAAATATTAGTATAAGCAAATCAACTTATGGATTCCATTCATGATGCATCTATTCCTTTAATGTAACAAAACTAATTAGACCAAATATGTTCTTTTTGTAAACTATTACCAGTAACCCAATTGCAAATGAGACATTATTAACAAATAAAAAGTGGACAAACAATGAAGACAAAGACAGTGACAACTCTATTCAAACGTGAATTAACAAAACTTAGAGTAATTCCAAGTTTCAAACTAAAGTAGTAAATACTACATTACCATACAAACTACAATAAGTATTTAGATATTTGTTTTTAGAAAACTGCAAATTAAACATTAATTTTAATGTCAACTATAATGAACTTGTCCTATATAATCTTGCATTTATATACTTTGAATTACTTAGTTAAATACAAACATTGGACATTAAATCAGTCGCGCAATGCGCGAGCCAAACTAGTAACTTTAATATGAACTATTCTCACTTTTGATTTTTCAACCATTTTTTTTTTCTTTTTCGTATTTTATTTTCAACTATTAATTTTATCACAAATAATACACCAATATGCTTTTGTTGTCACATTTGGTATTGTCAATCAAATATTCAGCAGCTACTCGTGTGAAAGTGTAATATTTTCCCTCATTAGGGTTGCTACAATGAGATCGTCCATTCAAATGTAAATACACAATATTACTAATAAAACATGTCAATCAAACATGTCAATCATTGGTGTTGCACTTTTCGTCCCTGAATTATAGAGTATTTGTAGAATTCGTCCCTGAGTGTTGGTCATGCTCACTTTTCATCCCTTTGCACTTTTCGTCTTTGAGTTATACTAAAATTATAAATTTTGTCCATAATCACTACTACATAAATGATATACTACGTCACTTAATAGACGGAGATTTTTTAAATAATCAGCGTCTAATATATTTTGTTATACTACGTCACTTAATAGACGACAGTTTTTTAAATAACCGTCGTATATACCTTAATTATTTTTTTTTTACGTCATACACTTTAAATAACCACCGACGGTTTTTTTTTACACATACACGGCGGTTTTTGAAGTGTCGCGCGTGTAAGTGACTGTCGTTGTAAATATACACTTTCTACGACGGTTTTAAAAATCGTCGTGTATGTTAACTATATACAGCGATTAAACAACTGGCGTATATGTCAACTATATACGACATTTATTTAATAATCGCCGTCTATTAAGTGACGTAGTATAACACAATATATTAGACGACGGTTATTTAAAAAATCGCCGTCTATTAAGTGACGCAATACCTCTACTATACTAATAAGAGCTCAAGAGAGTTAGGCCTATAATGGGTAGAAAAAATGGCGGTCGCAGATTTTAATCAAATGAATGACTCAGATTGATTGAAAGATTGATCAGATTTAAATTTTACACTAAAATTTCCTAAAATACCCACACACCATTACTAATTCCGTTAAAATTTTAAGAATTACCGTTAGTTCACCGTTAACTTACTCATTGATTTCAATAGAAAAAGGTCTTAGGTTCGAATCTCATCCCAATCAAAGTTGGCATAATTAGTACTCTATTTTACTCTTATTAAATTATATAAATAATAATTTAGTAGTTACAACAAAAAATAATACATATGCATTTCTTTAATTTATAATTATGTGTCCACAATGCCTTTATTCAAAAAAAAAAAAATTCATTATCAATCAATTAACTAAGAAAAATAATTTTATTAGTTATATTGTCTTTATTTTTCTTCAATATAAAAATTTTTTATATTGAAATTTATTAATTGATTATATTCGCTACATTATCCTTACAATGTCTCTATTCAGTGAAAAAAAATTATTAATTATCAATAAATTAATTAAAAGAAATATTTTCATTAGTTATATTGTCTTTATTTTTCTCAAATGTAAAAATTTTTACATTCAAATTCATCAATTGATTATATTCACTATATTATCTATTATCTTTTTTCTGCACTATTTTTCTAATTAAATATCAAAGTTATAATACAAAATAATGCTATATATTTATTTACCAAGTATTTTATTAATACCATGAAAAAATTAAAAAAATATAATTAATAAAGCCAACCATATTAACTTCTTGAGAGATTTTGTGACAAAGAGAGTATTCAAATCACACAACAAATTAAAGTGAGAACTACCTTGCAATGTCCTTGTTTGACAATCAACAGTTAGGGGTTAGCGTTAGCGGATTATACTAGCGGATTTGACCAGCGAATTTATTTAATTATTAACATT